GGAGGGGCCCTGCGGCTTCTGCACTTCTTCAGGAGCCGGTTCCAGAAAGATCGGTGCCGAGGAGGCAGCAGTTGCATTACTGGAACACAGGGTTATTTTGTGCGTTGGAGAGTCATCTAGATCAGTTATTTTTGTGAACTGAAGGAGAGGTCCTTGAGGAATCATATTTACACACTACGTAAGGTTCCAGGAAAAATAATTAAAGAATGGCAAAAAAATGTTCTTCTGCCTTAGGCTTAAGTGCTGGCTTTTCAATACGAATTAGAGAAATGCATTTAAAATCTGCCTCTAAAGGCAGTGACATTAACAGTTGCCTCAGTGATGGTGGTTTTTTTTTTTTTTCTCCTTTAAGCAGAGCATCTCTCAGGAATACACTCCGCAAAAGTGGAAAGAGCCCAGTCTACAATGATGAATGCTGACATGGATGGTATAAGTTCTTAATGTTCTTGTTCTTAGTTGTTATTTTTCTACTTAATGTCATTTCCAGCTGTTACAGAGGTTGCATTAAAACTCGTATGATTTATTGCAGCTGTTGAGGCTGAGAATCAGGTGGAATTAGAAGAGAAAACACGGCTTATTAATCAAGTTTTGGAACTGCAGCACACACTTGAAGGTTAGCAGTTTGACACATCAGATTTTTTACGACCACACAGTAATAACAAAAGAAGAGACCTTTACGGTTCTGCCCTACCTCAGCCAAAGTGGCCAGAAGTATGTCACTTCTGCAGGCGAAGGCACATAAGCAAGGTCTCAGAAATATTCCCCCTGCCCCCCTTTATGCCACACCGTGTTTGCTCGACTCTCATAATACACATCAAGCAGAAGGGGCGACACAGTTAACCTTCTCAGGCCCATTAGCTGACACATCTTAGAGTCTGCTCATCACTGAACTTTTGTTTCCAAATAAGTTTAGTTTGCAATTTCTTAACTCAAAAATTCAAGAAAAGAATAAAGACATAGACTGACAGTAAGTTTGTGTAACAAGTTTGTCAAAATACTGTGCAACAAAATGAGACAGGAAAAAGGGGCTTTAGATGTAAACTTGTGAGTAGCACAGCGTTTTGTGAGACCATACCTTATGGCAGTGTTTCCCGCGTTAAAAGCGTGGCCGGTTTGATGTAGGCACATAGAACATACTCACTGTTGCATGCCGTGGTGTCTAATATTTTTCTTATAATATCGCCTTCGCAGATCTCTCAGCACGAGTAGATGCTGTTAAGGAAGAAAACTTGAAACTGAAATCAGAAAACCAAGTTCTTGGACAGTATATAGAGAATCTGATGTCAGCATCTAGTGTTTTCCAAACAACTGACACAAAAAGCAAAAGGAAGTAAGGGTTGACACACAGATGATGTCATTGTATTGCTGCTGTCTTTTTTTTTGTTTCAATTGGCATAGGCTACATGAGCTGAAATACCTTAGTTTGTGGCTTTACTGGATACTGGAAGATTATAAACTTTGGTGGTAAACAGAATTAAGAACATTATCATGAACAGGAGACGCAAGTCTGTGTATTGTTAAGATTAAGCAATGTGCAAATGTAGTGTAGAGACTTACTAAACTTTCATATTTGTTTTAAAAATGAGCATATCTTGTTAAAAATTGGATTCCATTTGTCAGGTTAAAAGTCTGTTGGCGCTCTGAGGTCGTAGGGTAGTGTTCTTGACTAGCAAAATAATACGGTTATAATACTGTGTTGAAACCTCATCTGATAAAAATACTCAAAGTCTAATTGCATCACCTTTTTCACCTCAAATATATTTAGATTACTGGGTAGTACTGACCATAATAGCTCTGTAAATCAACTTTAAACAAAATCCTGTAAACCAGTTAAGAATTTCTGTGAAGTAATAACAGTATGATGTTATTTGCAGGGCTTGCATACAGAAAAACACTTAAGATTTTTTGGGAAGGGGGAGGGTAAGGGAAGAGGAGTAAGGATAATAAGCAACTTACATCAGGGAAGTACCAAACTGGTGCAGCATCAGACTGCAGTTCACAAGATGTACACTTAAAAACCATTTTCACTTTCCTGTTTCCTCAAAGAATGGTCAGGCACAGCATTGTGATGTATGACCTTCCTGAAGCTTTCAGTTTTGTGACGAAGAGTTAAATAGAAACCCGAGTAATGAACTTTACCGAAACAGAAGGCCAGCCACGTTCCTCATGCTCGTTGTGAACAGTCCGCAGTGAGGAACTCAGAACAAGCCTTTCCTTGCCACCCGTTACTTTCCCCTGAAGTGCCAAACTTGTCTCCGCTTCAGGCCTTACAGCAACTGTTTTCCTGCCCCAGAGCCTGAGCTTGTGAAGTACCTCCTGAGGCACTGCACAAAAACTCCTGAGGCAGGAGACTGCAGTCGAACCCAGGTGGCTTTTGCCCCTCCAACCTGTGCTGCTCGGAGCAACACCTAGTGTGGTCAGGGGCCCTGTTTTCCCTGGCTTGGCTGTCGGCTAGCAGGTTTTGTAGAGTCCAGCCCAGAGTAGGGGCCTGAGCAGCTCCCGTAGAGGTGGCCTGTCTAGCATCACCAGTGTTCAGGGAGAGCAGAAGCTGAGATACGACAACCTAAGTTTTAGCAGTGCTCAACTGCATCTGTTTGACCTTACCATAAGGCAGCATTGCAGACCTTTATGGATGTCACCTAGAACCGAGGTCTCTCTCTTCAGTAATGAAGCCATTGTACTTTATTTTTAACGAAAGGAAACCACGAGTTAAGGATCTCTTTCAACCTTGCTGTGATGAGCTATAAAATAAAGCTGCAGGAACTGAATGAGTGGATGTAATAGAACAAATCCCTCTCTAACCCCAAGTTTCTTGGCAGCTGAGCACTCAAGTGTAAGCTATGTCTTAAGTGTAAGCCAACACTGGGAGGCTGCCCGCTCCCAGAGGAGATGTTTCCTGTTTCTCCCCATTTAAGATGACTCTACAGCGCTCACTGGAGCATCAGCAAAGTCAGATGGCTTCAAACAACGCACTAGTAGTTCAGGCTCGAGGGCTGTTTACAAGTCTGAGTCAAGAAACCTGATGATGAAAAAGTTTTACTCGCCAAGGCACAAATGGCTCATACCATTTGTGTCATGGGGTCCTGTAAGCAACCAAAATTATCTTTAATCTTCTATGGACTATTCTCTCACTTTACTGCCTATCTGGAAGTCGAAATTCATCCAAGAATTGCTAGCAGGTGGAGTGGGTCAAATGGTTAGTCCAGGGTTTGAGCATGAAAATAGAACAATCACACCAAGCACTCAACTTGCAAAGATTGCGTTGCATCACAGCCATCCTAGCTGTAAAGCCGTGTCACTGCACACCTCCATCTGCACTGTAGGAGATCAAGTGGTAACAGAGCATGTGCTTGTTAGACTTCAGCTATTTCCTGAGATCACGTACTCTTAAAGTCATGGTTTTGTATTGTAAGATTGGATAGTGATACTTTACCCATCCGTGTGTATATAGTAGTCATTTAATCTATATACCATTTTACATCCCACTACTGTGGCCTTCATTTAACTTATGAACGTTTTAAAGATGTTGTATTTGACTTTACACTAAATAAAAACTTTTGATTTGGCTCAATTAGTTTGGTCTAACATTTGTAAACCCTGAAACTTCTCACAACTAGCTGTAGTCAAACGGTAGAAAAGTAGTAGCGTTTGCCATTCCCTTAATTGTTTCTACATAGCTGAAGTGTCTAAAGACTAGATGTAATTAGCAAGTATTACCATTAAGCCTGGGTTAATCAGTCTATTTCCAGCAAGCTTCCAGTTCCTGACTCACTTGGTATTTTCACATTTCTGTATACTTTTCTGTTCTGGCTAAAGGAGAAGGACTGGCAGCACCCAGTGTTGTCAAAGCTAAAACTTGCACCTCTGCATGTGGGAGAACGTTAAGCCAGGTCAGAATAGAAGAGATTTTACCTTTTCCTACACAGGTAATGAGCTCTACGTTAGAAAGAAACCAGAATTACTACTTCTTCGTACCTTCATGAAGGTGGAAGCTAACTGAGGAGTAGCTTCAGTTATAATTAAATAAAAAAGGCCTCGGTCTTTCATGGCCTTCCCTGTGTATAGAAGATCCTCAGCCTGGGATTTGGTGTCCTCAGCTTTTCCTAAGCTACAATGTAGGTGGTGGGAGTGCAGGCTGCCGAGGTCTGACACTCATGGAGTTCCAAAGATGACTGACAGTTTTAATAGCAAGGCATCCTGGAACAGGATTATCATTTGTTTGTTAATTTCAAAGCACTTTCAAGCAGCCATGATAGGAAGATCAAGTATTTTTCCCAAAATATCTGTTCAGATATAGATGGACTACGCACAGGAACTGCGGCTGAAATCTCAGTGTTGCAAGTGTCAACGGAAGGGGGTTCCCCTTTCGCCTGGCTTTCTAGATCCAGAGCCTCAAATCCCCAAAGCTCTGATACTTCTCCCCTAATTACTAGACTGGATCCAAGTAAGCTGGTGTGCAGAAGGATGTCTGCTATCTCCAGGTTCCAGGTAATCTAAGTCATTAAGACAGTATTAAAGGGAGACAGGCCTTACGGAGGCAGTATTATTGCAAACAGCACCCCGAGTCATGGCCTCAAGACCATTTTACCCATAATAAATGGCTCCTTATTTACTGAAGTGAGGTAAAGCAAAGATGTTGATGGGGCATTAATCAAGACTAAGTTCAAAACCGTAAGGGAAGACTGGCATCCCCTGTGGGGTGACCAGTCCCTGGAGTAACTGTATCACACCAAACAAAAATCCCAAAACAAACAACCAACCCAACCCCAAAACCACACCCAAATGCCGTAACAATTCCAAAGGGTTTTCTCCAGGCTCAGCAAGATTGATTCAAAAGGAAGTGCTGAAATGCTCCCTGACAGCTCACAGTAGCTCGTACTAGCCAGAGACCGCATCAGTAACAGCTTTATCTGTTGCTGAAAAGTCACAGGCAGGAGGAGGAATCTGGAGTCTTCATTCTTACCTTTTGCATGTAGACCCTAAATAAAGAGGAGGGAACTTGCATTTAACTTAAAACAAAACCAAACCAAACCACAAAACCCAAACAAAAAAGCCAGAGGCCTTTCCATGTAGTTCAGACAAAATAAGAGTCCAATATAATTAACTTTTGAACACTTCAACACAAGCACTTGAAGACCCTGGCTTCTTCATTAGGGTTAATAAAGCATTCATTTGTTAGAGACTTTGGTGGAATCTTTGCTGACTCAATTTGCTGTAATATTTCTTTTTTCAGTGAACTAACCTTGCCAGGCACAAGGAAATCTTGAGTTCCTTATGAATTAATGTATTTCTACTTGCTTTTAATGTATGGCTGCTTTTGCTAGCATTTTACATCCTACTAATATTATAGGCAGCTGCAAGCAGCAAGAGGTCTCTAGTGACTGCAGTTTTATTGTTTGCTTTAATATACAGCCAGACTTTAACAAAACAAACTTTTACAATATGCAGTTTATTTAAACTATATTATGAGAATGCCCAGTTACTCACATCTGTAAAAAACTTAATCCATCAAAAATTCTTATCTATAGTAATAAATTTCATGTTAAGCAAGAATTATTAAATATTTTTAGGAGGCAATGTACACTTAGCAAGTATTCTATAAACAGAGGTTATACCACTCTGTCTTGGAACATGAGAACTATAAAAGTTTGAAAAAATTTTCTGTATATCACTTCTGCAGATTGGCTATCTGCATTCAAAACTAAAACAAGTCACATCAATTACCACTTGTTCTGTAAGTACTCTGTTTTAAAATATCTCTTAAAAATAAATTACTGTAACCAGTGTCTAAAGTGAACAGGAGACTACCCATGTAACAAGATCAACTAAAATAAATAATTTACAATAAAAATTGTTGCTAACACTAAATCATTATACAAAAAACAATTATTGCATTTAGCTCTGCACCGAAAAAAACCTTTTCTTATAGCAATGTGAACTGCTGCAGATGCTACATCTATACTATCGTCCTCTTTTAGCCGAAAAGTGTAAACAGCTAATTTTGTGCTAGAGCTGCAAAAATATTATAATTTACTCATGTTTTTAAAAAATATTTAGAGTAAGTTTATCTCCAACTAATACTAATTTCTAGGAATCTTCAAATCTTAAGAATCTTCAACTTAAAATCAGCTGGCCAACTAGTAATTTCACTTTTATTCTGAATTTGAAACATCAGCTAACTCCTCACAGATAGTACTTCTCCTTAAAAAAAAAAAGGGAATAAGGAAGTTTGGGAAGGTTAAAAGGAGGTCAGAGAATTAAAGTAGGAGGTTAAGTAGCAATGAGTCCCCCTTTTTCCTTCAAATCTCAGGAACTTGCATCCTGTCAGGCCCACTGAAGTGGCATACCAGAAGTTACCATTATCTAGCCCTGCCAATACTAGCTGGAAGCAACTCAGTCCTTTCGTACTCTTCTTTTGCGCACTGACTTCAGTGAACCATCTCTGGAACCTGTGCTTTCATCAGCTTCTTTCATCTGGGAAAAAAAAAAAAAACAAAAACTTTCAGCATTAAAATTTTAAACCAATTTTAATTTAATTATTGAAATGTGTATGTTACTTTATGCCTCCTCCCTACTTCCCCAGTCATATTATCACTAAATGCAACAAGTGATAGCATGACTTTTTTCCACAATACAAATCTAACAATAAATAAAGTGGGTAGAAGACTTTCTTTTCCTTT